GTGTTACCCGCAGGTATGGGAAAGCTGAATTTAAATTTGTGGGGTCACACGTGGATGGGGGACGTTCCCCTAAATTTTCAGCTTCCTAGCTTTGTGGTTCCCGAGTTGGAAGTTGCGGACAAGTTGTTGCAGGTACACATACGCGCAGACAACCCCGTGACAATATGCGTATTTGTACTGCTGTTGCACAGCACAAAACGTACAAAAAGCAAGGAATTTTTTTTAAAGCGACTTGAAGCCGGTTTCCAGCTACTGTACAGTTTGAAATAGCAGCAATAAAAAAGAAGCACTTGTAAAGCATAACGCAAAAATTTACCAAGATCGACTAAATTTCTGGTGATCATTTCCGAATGCAAAATGTATTGCAGGAACAAAGATGGTTCTGTGCGATCGCCAAAATCACAGAAAATCAAAACTGCATAATGAGATATCTGACTGAAACAGAAGGTGACTGTGAAAGGCCGCTCTGATTTAATGTCTACGTTTAACACATGTCTAATTTAACGTCCAATTCCTCAGTGTCTAAAGACAGGGCAAACTCTTTTCCACTTTCAAAGCAGCAACTCTCACCCTGAAATGCTACCGGTCGGCCTGAAGCGGAGGCAGATCACATCACGTAACCGATAAATCTGACTGAATCCAGGAACACTGTCAGTGCACCGCGGAAGCCTGCAATAGATCGTGAAATTTTCAGCATCTCCGATTGCTGATCCATGGATACACCGAAGCACTCGAATGCGTCATTTTTAAGGAAATAAAAATAAAAATTTCTAGCCAAGCGCAGCTCAGGATCCGGGTTCTTCTTCAACTTGTTCAGCTGCTTTCACAGCAATGCAAATTGCCTAAAGTCAGCCTGCTGGTGATCCCAACGTTCATCGTTTTAAGTAATTGCGATTTTAACAGTGCATGTGAGAGAAACATCACTGGTATATGTTGAGCATCACCACTTCACTCCAAGTATGTAAACGAGGAATGAAGCAAGATATAAATGTACTGGAAAGTCTAGCTGTAGCATTTAATGGAAATGTATGCCGCTTTAAAGACCGAAACATTTCTGCTTAGCTGTTCAATTACAATTTGGTGATATTTTCTCAAATTTGAGTAAAATATATCTTTTAA